TCATAATTAGATTATATGAGGTTTTCAAATTATATGTGTTATTTAGATTATATGCGATATTCAGACTTTATGTGATATTCAGATTATATGTGTTATTTAGATTATATGCGATACTATAATCTAGAATAAATGAGATATCACATGTAATATGATCATATTACATGTGGTATCCCACTGTTTTTTATAATTTTATTATAAAAATATTATATTATTTATTAAGAAGTTATTATATATATATATAAATTTAATTAATTTATAGCTTAACAAATAATTAAATATAATAAAATAAATTTTGTATAAATCATTTTACTTTTTAAAAGAATTAATAAAAAAAAAAAAGACTTTGATAATCTTAAACTCTTTTAAATTTCAAGTAATAAATAAAAAAAATCTTAAGATATACTTTTTTCTTTAATATATCTTTCATTTAAAATTTAAATTTGTCATTGAATTCAACTAAATAAATCAAGTTATATAAATAATAGAATTAATTTAAAATTTCTAAATACCTGTATAATGCTTAAGTTGTAAATTCTAAATAGTAAATAGTATATATATTAAATTATTAAATGATAAATATATATACTATTTACTATTTATAATGAGATTTTAAGTAATAATTTTATATTTTAATTAGTAATTAGTAATTTATATTATTTTTTTTTTTTTTTAAAAAAACTGAACAAATTTTTAACTGTCGGAAAAGATCAATTTTTTACTTTTTATATGCCAAATATGATTTTTAGGTCAAAAATATGTTCAGATTTAGCATTAACTCATTTTTTTATTTTTTTTTAAGTCGTTTTCCCCATTTTTATTGCAAAGGTCCCATATATTTATTAAATATTAAATATTAAATTATTATAAGATAATTTTTATGGAAGCTTATTTTTCAAATGCTATATATAGCTTTTAAAAATGTTTATTTCTTTAAAATATTTATAATTCAGAAAACTTTTATATCGTTTATCTTGAAATTATAAAAAAGAAAAAATTTTTTTCCTTACTACTAATTATAATCAATTTTTTACGTTTTCTATAGTTTAAACATAAATCTATTTAATAAAAAACCAATTGCGAGAATGATTTATAATTTTTTTTTTTCTGGGAAATAAATGAACATGTGAACCGGTCATCGAAAAGTAACTCGCACGGCCCAAGAAAATGCCACGTGAATTTAAACACATTTTTCAGTCGAAGGATGAACCTCTTATACGTAACTAAAAAAAAATTATTTAACATGCAAAAATAGCTTGTTTGTTTATTTAAGTGCGAATAACAAAAATTCTAATTTAACCATTAAAGGCCTAGGTCAACTGATAAGCCGTGCGAAAGATTAAATTGGGGGAAAAAAAAAAAAAAATTTGAATGATTTTGCAAAAAAATATTATATTTTTTTTTTTTTTTTTTTTTTTTTTTTAAAGGAAAATTTCTAATTAAAATCTAATATAATCACGAAAAAAAAATTTCTATTTTATATATGCTAAGTCTAAAGAATTTGTCTATATGAATTTTCTGTACATTATAAACGTATATATAAATGTGTGTGTTATACACAAAGTAATAATAATAATAATAAAAATAATAAAAAGAAAGCACGTAAAAAAGCAAAAGGAAAAAAATATTAAGATGATTGTCCAAAAAGAAAAAAAAAAAAGGAGAAAAAACTGGAGGTATTAATGACCGACAATTATTGTTATGGTATGAAAAATTAAAAAAAAAAACAATGAAAATATGAGGCGAGAATTAATTAATGTAATACAAAATGAATTATATATATAAGAAAAGCTAATATATGAGAATTAAAAAAAAATTAACCCGCCGTAAATGAATAACCGACAACTGAAGTAACGGAACCTGCCACGACTTCGGGTGTTTTTGTGTATTTTTTCCAAAACAAAAACCCGTCATAATACCAAAAACTTATTAAAATATATATATATATATTTACTGTATACTAAAATGCGCGAAAGGAAAAAAAAAATAAACAAGTAATTTAAAAACTAATTAAATGTTCAATGATATTATTGCAACCTATTACATCCAAAAAAATAATAAATCATAAAACACGCTTGAGAGAAAAATTAACGACCATTCCAAAAAAAAATTACCAAAAATTTAAAGTTTCAAGGTTGTATAAATTGCTTCTAACTGTCGTTGATCTTCGGTGCTTCTGATCTTTTCCCATGGAATATCTTGAGGAGGTAATTGGTGAACATTTGAAACGGATGGTGAAGTTGTTTGGGGAGGGTATGAAGCTGGGAAAGGTAATTGTTGAGTATTTGGAAAGGTGAACCTCGATGAGGCATTTGGGATATTAATTGGTTGTGAACCATTACCAAAACCATTATTCTCGGATGGTTGAATGAAATTTGCCGGAGGGTAGATCGGTAACGATGCAGTACTTGAATTAGGATGTAAATAATTATGACGACCACCAAAGAAATTGGGATAATCATCTTCGGTTGTTGAAGGTGAAGAAGAAATTGATGGCGTGGAGCATGCAGAATGTGTATCGAATTGCATTGGTTCGGCAGACAAACGATGATGATGAGAAGCGTGTGATTGTTGCAAATTCCAAGGGTATGGATTCGGTGAAATTGATCTTTCTATACCGGCACCATCAAAACCTGAATGACCATGAGCGTGTTGTTGATGATGATGATGATGGTGAGGATGATGAGGGTGAGGAGCCGCTCCTCCGGTATAGTGATGAACGTGTGGGACACCGTCAACGTTTGATGTTTCAGGATACATTCCCTTTGGAATGATGATTCCTTTAAGCTTATCGTCATGGCTGGGGACCTGTAACTTTTCATTGATAACATCTGCTTTTGTGTAATAGCATATCAAGTGTAATTTTTGATGTGCTGTGGTGGTTATGCTGAAGGACTGTTTCACGAGACCACCGTGTTTATATCTGCATTGCTCATTAGCCGAAGACATCGATTTTTTGGTAGAGGAATGATAAGATTCACTTGAGTCTGTATCTTCACTTGATAAATCATGGGGATTATTACTTCCACGAGAATTTGATTTACGCTTTGATTCCAATTCCCGATAAGTCAAGAAGCTTCCACTAACACGACTAGCAGACCAGCTTTTACCATCAGTCCAACGTCTCATGCCGGCTTCACGTTCATCCCAAACAAAGACCGAACCCGAACGAATCGATGACCTCTCTTTTTCGCTAAGTCGTCGTTGAATGCGAGATAGAAATCCCATACGACAAGCCTCAAAAAGTAAGATAGCATCTTGTGGTGATTTAACGTATCCGTAATATGTTTCCATTGTGAAGATATGTGTATGTTTATATATATATAACGTGCTATAAAAAGTTTAATATAAAAAGGAGGGAAGGAAAAAAAAAAAAAAAGGATCGTTAGTTAAGATGTCCGAAAACAGCATTTTATTGCGTCGCTGAGATATAAGTGTCCAATGAATATCTGCTGAACTATTTATGGAATAAGGGTAACCAATAAGCGTCGTTGTACGGTACGACAACAATAGCGGAGGTTCGAGCAAACAAGGACGAGTGATTCTTCGAGTGCCACCCTCTTCACTTTAACGAGGGTGCAAGCACGGAGTTTTTCCGTGCCAAGAAAACATGTCGCATTTCCCTTTCAGTTGAAGGGTATTCCATCCACCTAAAAAAAAAGGTCTGACAAAAGTGATAAGACGTACTTACAAGAATAATCTGCTGAGCGATAAGTTTTGAAGGTAATTTGAGAAGCTTGACAAGTTGCGGTGTAGTTGTCGGATATGATATGTTCTTGCAAAATTTCTCTAGTGTATTTTTAATCTAATATCTCAAGGCGAAGAGTTTATATTTAAAAAGTTGCAAGTGAATAATTGTATTTTATATGTATATGTTGGAATTGGAATTATATTTTTTTTTTTTGGTTTTTTTTTTTTTTTTGTTTTTTTTATATCTATTTCTATTATTATATTATAAGTACTTTTTTTTAACGAAGGAAAAAAAAAAACAATGATCAATCAATGACCAAATAGCTTGTTTGTTAACGAAAAAAAAAAGTATTTCAAAAAAAAAAAAAGAGGAGGGTTATATATATATATATTTTTTTTTTCAAAAAAAAAAAATATATATTTTAATTAAAGAAATTGAAAAGTGGTGCGGTGAGAGGAAAAAAAAATTTTTTTTATTTTTATTTTTTTTATTTTTTGGCTTTTTAATATAATTTATATGAAGATGATAATATAAAAAAAAAAAAAGGTAGAAAGGAGTTTTTTTTGGGGGATCTCTTTTTTTTTTGTGTGTCGCTTAAAGGCGTTTTTTTTTTTAAAAAAAAAAAGTTAAAAATTGAGGGAGAAGGGTACAAAGGATTGTACAAGAAAAACAAAAAATTTTTTTTTATATATACTTTTTTTTTTAAATTACACTAAACAAACTTATAGTTAGAACACAGTTGAATAAACATTCATTGAATATAAATTGTTGTTGATAATAATAAATATTACAAAGTATTAAATTACATCAAACTATATGAAGTTATTGTATAATTATTTATATATATTTTAATTTATAATTTATACTTTAAATATTCGGATGAAAATAGGGAGTGACATTTTTTTTTACCATCCATCAAATTAAGGATAACGAATTCCGTCGTATAAATAGTTATATCGTAAAATTTTTTTTTTTTATGATATCATGTTGAATCCTGGATTAGGCATTAGTTGGCTAGTATGAATTGATGGAGCCTTTTATTTAAATTTTTTTTAACGTGAAAAACAAATTTTTTTATTAAAATAAAATAAATAAAATAAGAAAGGGGAAATTGCTGCGGGTAGGTCATTAAAGCACCGAATTGGTATTATATCATTATTTTAACAATTCCATCACTACAATAAATAGACGAACTAATATAGATTCAACTGAATGATTATGTGAAAATTGGTTAATGACGAACGAAATTTATGTAATGATAATTTTAGAACCACCGTATTACATCGATTCGGAAATAAGATATCGGAAATTAGCAAATTCATTCTATAAAGATATTCCGATAAAATGTCGGCACTAATCCGAGAAAATGAGTTGATTCAGTTGGTATTGTTCACCGAAAATTATGAGGTAATTCATATAAATAAATCATCTGACCCAAATTTTAAACATTTTGGTCCTTTTCTAATTGTAAAAAAACGTGTACGGTTTTGGTTAAGGAAAATGGACTTGTTTATGTGATTGTCTTGTAGTTTAATTTAGCCACCGACTATCCTTTTTTTTAATTTTTAAAAAGTCTAAATTTGAACATCGAAAAGTACGATCCTTTCTTCGAAATACGATTCAGCTTCTTTTGAGAATCCTTCTTTGGAATCATCATTTCATCTTTTTGAACGTTCAATGAAATCTATTTTTGGGGGAAAGGAGGACATTATTACGTTGATGAAAAAAAAAAACAAACAATTTGGTAATTTCATATCATTATCATTGTGTTGTGCCACAATTCAAATCTTTTCATGTCCCTTTGCTTTCAATCAATTAGATTTGTACTAGCACGGTTTCTTAAAATCTTCTGCTTCTTTTAACAATTGTATCACTATGAAATCTTTCAGTTTGATATCCCCCCTTTGTTCCTTCCGTTATCTTTTCATCCAACATTCTTACGCATCAAACCCCAGAAGGTTTCTTTGTCTTTGAATAATTGCGTAAAAAAAAAAAAAAAAAAAAAAAAATCACGAAAAAAACGTTGACAAAGGTTTGTCAGATCCGCAGCAACTCAATCATATGCATGGTAACGAAATGAAACAGTCGCACAAGAACATTAATTCCTTATCCATTCTTATTGATTTAAACTCAATCCATTTATAGATTCCCATCATAAATAAAGTCATTTTGAAAATACTGTAAAATCATAAACCTTATTTCCGAGTTTAGTTAATAATCAATGAAATTAACCATATACCCTTTAGTGAATAACATCACTTTAATTCTATCCCATTTAGTGTTACAAGGAAGAACGGCAACACCTTGGCGATTTTTTTTTTTGACGTGAATGTGACCGTTTCTTGCAGTGTGAGAAAGGATGAATGAGAAAGACCTGATAATAGGGTTTGATAATCCAAGTTGCGACAAGGGGGTGTGATTCAAGCATACGTTAAGCATTAGGGAGGAAGTAAAATGTGAAGGTTTACGACAAGTGAAAAGGGGTCCGTAGGAATATCTTTGGTCTAAAGCAGTGAATCGTTATTAATTCATTCTCTCAAAGGAATGATGTTATCTTGTCGGATCTTTCGTTTTGATTAATGAAGTTTATTTTCAAAGAAGAGACCATTCCACTTTGATGATTACCAATTGGTAAATTTTTTTTTTTCTCGTCACGGCAAGGTACACAATCAAAAAAAAAAAAATTTTTTTTTCCTTTTCTAACCCAAATTTCATGATTACAAATTCGACCAGATTTTTGTTCATAGAGAAATGCACAGACACTTTACATTCATTCATTGCCATATTTAACTTTCAATGTAATTAACTTTCAATGTAAAAAGAGAAAAAAACGAACATGACACAAAGATTAATTGATATACTTCATTATTTTCGTGGTACGAAATGAGGGACGTGACACCAACTTTTACGGCTAAACAAACCTTAAGTTTTTCATCATGCAACTAATACATTCAGATCTCTTAACAAGAATGAGATTATTTTTTCATTTCCTTTGGGGAATGCAAACATTGAAACAATCCCAAATTTACTTCTAATTCATACACAGCACATTTTTAATATCACACAAATTATTTTTTTTTTCTGTCGCATATTATTGGAATTTAATTACGGATTAACAATGATTGCTATCAAACGAACGTATGATATGTCAGGTTATATATATATGCTTAAATTTCTTAAAATGGGTATTACCAAAGTGATTAGAAATTTCCAAGTTTTCGATTGTAGATTGGAAGGATATTATTGATGTTTGGAAATGTCCGGTCATCATTTCACAACCGTCTTAAGTAAACAACAATCCTTCAAATCCTGCAGTTATATTGTTGAAACATAACCTGTCGGGTTTGTTGGAATTCTTTCCCATATTCAACTGTTTTGCACCTTTAAAATCATCTGATTGCAAAGTTTTTTTTTTTTTCAGTGAGGGAGGGGCAAACATAAACAAGAGATTTATTTTTAAATTCATAAACATCACGTTACATATGTGAAAGATCGTTTAGGGTGGGGAAAAGAAAAAAACTTTTTGCCATCCATGTAATCGCGTTACCTCTTCGTTCAACATCTTTTAAAACATCACACATAATAACATTTTGAATGAATGATAATATAAATATGTATGTCCAAAATGTTACTTTTCAATATATCAAGTTAATGTTTGTTTGTACGTTTATTATTTATTTACATGCGCCAACTTTTTTGTCTAAATTAATTAGGGATATTTTTATCAAAAAAAGATCAATTTAATCTAAGTGTAACAAAAACTTTCCTTCGGGAAAATTGGTTTTTTTGAATGATTTCGTGATAAAACTTCAATAAGGATTAATAATGTCAGCTCCGAGAACAAATTAATATACCTTTTGACCAAATATAATAAAAAGAAGGTTTCTCGAAATAAAAAATGTGACATGACTGATATAAATTTAGAATTTTATTTATTTGATAAGTTTGTTATCAGTAAAACAAATAAGGTTTATATTTAGGACCGCCGATCATGAGATGATTGGAATTTCAGAAGTACATTACCCTTTTTTTTTTTTTAAAAAAAAAAAAAAAAAATCCATGCTTAGGAGACAAAAAAAAAAAAAAATAACAATACATGTCCCAACATTTTCCCTGAAAGAACAAATGCATCATGTATCGAAATAACTTTTTATTAGAAAACTTGTACCTTGGTTACCCAACCACATTCTATAGAGACGTAAATGAAACCATGTAATAAACGGGCGAAACTTCTCGAAATGCCGCCTTGAGACAACAAGTCCTATTACCGGTTTATTTTTATTCTTTTTTTTCTTGCTATTTTTTTATTTTTATTTTTTCATTATAATAAATAATAATGTACAAATAGGTTAACTTGAGCATCGCATTTTACATTTTACATTTTACTTCAAACCCAAAATTGATTGATGCATTATGTGGAGTAATAAATGAAGAAATGTATGAGATTTACTTTAATTAGTTTTATAGTGTTCTACATAAACTTTAAAACGCGGAGGAAGATGTACATACAGCAAGCATTGAATGTTTAAATATTTTTAACCACCTGACTTTATTTTACTTTGGAAGCTCTAAAGATAAGCTTATTACATGTATTACAAAAGGT